TGGCAAAAACCTATGTCCAAAATTAACTCATAAGTAGTGAGGCTTGGCCAAAACCTAGTCTAAATTGTTGATTGATTAAGTGGAAGAAAGACGGTCACAAAGAATGTCAATTATTCTGTATGTACTAAAATGGCAAAATATTTTTGTTAACTGACTAAACATATTTTCAATCAGTGACAGCAAGCTTTTGAAACTAAAACTTTCATTTACTGCACCAAAGAGACACCAGGACTTCTAAAATTCATGTATTGCAACCAATGGTCCAAAAAATGTTTAGAAAAACTTCACAAGTTATTTATGTTGAACTCTGTCAAATGATCAAAAAAGTTGATAATTGGATAAACAATGAAGTGTTTTGCTTTGATATATGACAAAATACTATTGATATCTTCAATTTAAGTCAAACCTATTAATGCAGCTACCAAGGTGTAGAGCCTCCCCACCAACAACAATTCATGAATTCATATTATTTTACTTCCTCGTTCAATTGATTAGAGAGAAAATTTAAAGCCAGAAACTTCAAATTGGTAGTGAAAGATTGCATGCATATAAAATAAATCAAGATGTATAACCTCCTATAATATTCTAGAAATATAGGAAAATCATGCCGAAATCTAGTAACATACTGTTGATCAACTTAAGCAAATTACTAATATTTAAACGCAATTCAATAAATGAAGATAAAATAACAGCACATTCTGGGAATCAACCAAGACCAAACAATAATGTGAAAATCAACATAATTGCCAATCCTTTAAAGTTGAGAATCGTACTGAAAATATCAAATTTTCTTTTTTTGCTCATCAAAATTCAATATTTTTATTCATTCCACCAATCCCATGAAGCTCCACTTCTCTCCAGCCATGAATGCTACAAACACAGCAGCAGTCAATTTTCTCAAAAAATCAACTAATTTAACTAACTTAACCCCAATATGGCCTCAGACAATACCACAAATTTTGAATCTTATTTTCTGTACCAATCCCAACAACAAAAATGTTTCCTTATTTCTCAGGAACTACTCTACGAAACCAAACATCAACAGAGAAAATGCAACAAATGAAAATTTGACTGCTGAGCCCAGTTCACATTCAAGAACTCAAAAACAAGTCAAGCCCACTTCAATTCAATCCATTTCTTCTTCACATATATCATTTTCGAGATAGGGGAAATCAAATAAAAAAAAGAGGGGAAATCGGACCCAACAACTCAGAAATGGAATAGAAAGCAAATAACCTAAGATTATCACAAGCAACGAATCAAAACCTTGATTTGAAGATGTAAAATCTTGATTCAAACTGACCGTCGTGACACCCCTTTGATTCGCCTAAACCAGACCAAACTGCCCTTACTTTGAAGATCCCGTATAGAACCCGTCATCCCCGTCCAACGCAATCTGTTTTCGATTTTTGGTTGTGGGTTTGTGAGAATGGGTCGATTTATAGGGAGAGTGAGAGAGTTCAGAGAGAGGGCGAGAGTTGTGGGTTTGTTTCGCGAGTTCAGAGAGAGGGAGAGAGTTATGGGTTTTTGTTTCGCGTGTTTTCTGATTTGGGTAGAGAACATGGCTTATTTTACAAAACGACGTTTTGCTCGTTTTCAATTTTCAGTTGTTTTTCTTTTTTTCATTTTCAAAAACGTGTTTTCAAAAATAAGATAGAGAACGCGTTTTCGCTGTTTTGAAAAATTAAAAACAAAAAACGGCTGGAAAACGAAAAAAGAATAGTGCCTAATTGCCTAGAAATTATTTTGCATGGAATTGAAAATTAAGTGTATTTGATTGATACAATTTTCCACCTAGAAAATTTTTAAATTTTGTGTTCGTTTAACTTTGTTTTATATGGAAATTGTACATTAAAGTGATAATTTCTTTCACAATTGGTTATAAAATTTGTTTCCATTGTCAAAAAAAAATTCCTTAGAAAATCATTTTTTTAATCAAACTTTAGTGTTCATTTGACTTTATTTTACATGAAAATTGTCCATTAAAATGATTTTTTTTTTTTACAATTAATTATAAAATTTGATCCAATTGAAAAAAAATTAAAAAAATAAAACGATGGAATTCCATTTTCCCACCAAAATGGTGAGAAAAGCAATTCCACAAAAACCAAGCAAATGTGCACGTGTGGGCAAATGTGGGAAAATGTTTTGCTAAGAAAATATTGTGCATCAAACAAGCCAAAAGGTAGGAAATGGAAAATTAATTCTTAGTTCCATGGAAAAGAATAGTAATCAAACATAGCCTTATATTATTGTCTGAGAGATTGAGACAATGAGTTATAACTTATGAGTTATAATTTTGATTTGTGAATTGTGATTTGGGAATTTAGGTTTTTAGAAAATTATGGATAAGTGAAAAAAATTAATGGAGAAGATGTTGTGTTATAATTTTTGATTTGTGAATTGTATTGCGTATTTATTTAATATATATATATATATATATATATATATA